AATGGAAAACCTATTTTAGTACAAGTGGTGGAAATTAACATTCAAAACCTACATTGAAAATGTTCAGTTGGTCCTAGAGGTGAAGAACACTGTCACAAACATGTTAAAAATATTAAAAAATACATATATATATACATAAATATATATATATATATATATATATATATATATATATATATATATATATTAAATCAGTTATTACAATATTTTAGTTGAATTTTAGTTTGTCACTTATGAAAATGTCATTGTGTTTTATTATTTTTTAATCTGTCATTCAAGATGTTGTGTTTATGCTACGCTGTTTGAACGATTACATCTGTAAGTTCTTTTATGTTATGTTATTTTTTTTATTCTATCTATAAATAATTTTTTAGTGCGCTCTTCAAAAAGCCATAAACCAAATGGCGAAATATTGGGTTTACGAGAAAAAAATCGTTTTATTTTCTGACCAAAAACCCTGATAATATACATTTATTTTATTTATATATATATATATATATATATATATATATATATTATATATATATATATATATTTGCTTTCCTTCAACTTGTCACCTGTCAATTCGTTGAATTTTATGTGTAATATTATTATTTATCTATTTTGTGATGGATTAGCCACTCTGTATAGATATTGTGATTACACATTTTTTATCGTTATATATTCATAAAAAAGTTATTTATAAAATTTTACCACGAGCCTGGCAACAAAATAAACTTCCTTTCAAATTAGGTTAATGGTCGAAATTTTTAGTAAATTGGATCCTAATGTCCTTACTTGTTGTCAAAACTATATATTTATTAGATTAGAAATTGTTTTTTTAGGTAATTGATTAGTTTGATATTAAGTATAAAGTAATACTGGCAAATATAATCAAGAATATGATAAAATCTATCTTTATGCACTGTTCGGAAAATTAATATTTTTAATTATAACTTTAAATGATCTTCTTATTAACGTGCCCCATGCCTAAGAACATTGGCGATCATCATGGTCCATTTGACTCTATCTGCAGCCGTTCTGAAAGGTTCTATTGACGTTTTCCCACTCCATTGTCTCAGATTCTTTAACCAGGACATGCGTCTTCTTCCTGGTCATCTTTTGCCTTTCACCTTCACTTATATGACCAGCCGCAATAATTCGTATTTCTCGTTTCTTAGTATATGACCAAAGTAGCTCATTTTTCTTTTCCTTATCGTGTTTAGTATTTCTTTATCTTTTTTCATTCTTCGTAGTGTTTCCGTATTTGTTATGTGTTGTGTCCAAGATATTCTCCACATTTTAAAGGTGATGAGTATTTTCTCTGTCGCCTCTGTAATTGTAAAGGCCTCAACTCTATACAACAGGACAGAGAACACGTAGCATCTAAATACTCTAGTTCTAATTTCAATGTTGAGTTTTCCATTGCATAATATTGCTTTCATTTTCTACCTATCTCAATACGCCGTTTTATATCCGTACTTCTATCCTATTCTTCATTTAGTTCGCAACCTAAGCACTGATTTCTGTGCACCCTGCCTAAAAGTTTTCCTTTAACATAACTACTGTCTTCCCCAATCTTGTTCTTCCGATCAAGTATTGGGTAATGCGATCAACCAAGATCTGTGGTCCTTCTCTGCTGTCCGCAAGGAGTATTGTGTCATCTACGTATTTAAGATTATTCAGAAGTGCTCCGTTAATAAATATGCCTTCATTTACGTCTTCTCATGCCTCTTTAAACAATTCTTCTGAATACATATTAAAAACTAAAAGGGGAAAGCACACATCCTTGTATTATCATCAAAAACTCAGTCGGAGTTTTTTGTAATTTAATGAAAAATTTCACATTAATTCGTTGCTCATGTTTTTCGTCACACATTGTTATCGGCACGAGCAAAAAAACGTTCTTTTCTAACGTCTACAAACCAAATACTACTACAGCTACAAAAACGTGTTTTCGTACTGGAAGAGTAGACACTTTTAGCTATCCAATGCTGCCTTCGTTTCCCACTCTTCTAAACCCTTAGAAAAATAGCTTCTAAAAGTTGTGTTTTTTAACCAGCTTAAGAATATTTTTTGCCATTTAATTTGAACTAAATTCTACAAAGTTATTGTAAATGTTTATAGGCTTAAAAGCTTATTTATTATATCATTAAAAAATTATTAAACCATTTTGTGTACATAAACGCAACTTTTTTTTCATTGGTTATTATTAGTATACGTCTTAACAAAAAAAAAAAAAAAATTAGCCCCTGTTTAACGAGATCCATTCAGTCAAATTATCTGGACCGACCTTAGAAATTAGCTCATTTTTCAAAAAAATCTTATAAACAAAATAAATTTTGCAAAAACTATTCAACTGATTTGGCGCATCTTTTGCACATATTTCAAACACGAAAGACACCAATTCAGGTTTATTTATTCAAATTTCAATAAATAATAAAAAAGTAATTAACAATATTTAAAAACAACGATTTTGTTGTACATTGTGCAATAAGTTTTTTGTTTATTATCCGCAAATCTCAATTAGACAAATTTTTAATATTAAAAGTGAAACTGGAACAAAACCATGAAGTGAAGATATCCAGGAGTGGCTAGTATACCTGTTGAATACAAAGCACGTGGTGTTCGTGTGTATCAAAGTATAAAAATTCCTTATTAAAAGCTTAAAACTTTATTTTAAAGATCTTTTCGGAATTAAATCATCATCAAAAAGTTGTTAAAATCATTGTTTGGTCACAGAAAAACACTAGAAGGCATCAGTAACAAAAATAATCCTCGTGGAATTTACAAAGATAAATGGAATAGACCGTTAACTTCGGTAATTAATAAAAACTACAACTGGGGTCATCTAACATGTCCCCCAGGAGCTGGTGAAATTTTGTCGACTTACGTTACCTCTAATCTGTGCTTTAGTCTTGGGCTAACTGATAGAAAGATGGTATGAAAAACGTTGACCGGTATTGACTGATGGGGACATGTTAGATGCCCCCAGTTGTAGTTTTTATTAATTATCGAAGTTAACGGTCTATTGCATTTACCTTTGTAAATTCCACGAGGATTGTTTTTATTACTGATGTCCTTCAAGTGTTTTTCTGTGGCCAAACAATGTTTTTAACAACTTTTTATTTCAACTTACGTGTTTTTAATATTGGTTTTTTACTCTCTCTTTTAGTAAACTGATGATTGAATGATTTAATTCCGAAAAGATCTTCTTTAAAATAAAGTTTTAAGCTTTTAATAAGCATTTTTTATACATTGATACACACGAACACCACGTGCTTTACAAATTTTTAAGTTATAAGCAAAATAATGAGTTTGGCGTTTTGATTGTTTATTTAAACATATTTCCATTAAACAATTGATGAATCCCTAGATGACAGCCTTTTTGTAATATCTTATACTACAGATTTCAACTGTCAAATCCGTCCATGTGAAGGGTTTTCCAGTTGAAATTTGTTGAAGTTGACTGTTGTGACGAAAAAATATCTTATTTTCCTAACTTGATTGGTGTATTTAGATACGTCATGTAACCCCTCCTTTTAAATGAAAGTGTTTGATCACTGCTTACAACTCAGTTTTATTATCGTTTACAAAAGCTGTATCAATCGCTCTGTATATTGAGATTATACGTATTAAACATTTACTGTACAGAATTATTAGTTTCCTCATTTTTTCACCATTTCCGTTTATCCATTAAGTAATCGAACAATCATTGTGTATAAAATTTTGGAATAAAATATGTCTAATTGAGTGATACTTTTTTTTAATTATTCTAGAAACATGATATCAGATTAGGCACGAAGAAGACAATAGAAATGAAGAGATATTATTTATTTCCTGATTAATCGGTTTTTGTCGTTTATTTTATCCATTATTAGTTAAATACATTATTATAATCATGCCAATTACCTATATAATGAACAGTTTAATATAAACTCAATTATTCTCATTTAATAAAGCACCAACGGAGAGGTGTTAGTAAGCATGAAGATTCCTATTTTATTCCTGGTATTCGGTAACGCCATAATGAAATCTTTTAATATATTACCCATATATAGTGATGATACACGAAAGTGTGTAAATCATTTACTTAACCTAACAGTAAATCATAAGGATATCATTTATGTGATTAACTCGGATATACAGATTTCTTACCCCGTGGTTTATTGTAATACCAACCAAAAGTTAGACATTTTTACTAGACAAGTACCCACCGTATACATCATTGCAGGAAATCTTACAGAAGTTTTTAGACGACTTTATGAACTTTCTATACTTAACTCTATGGGCAAGTATCTCTTAATAATAAATGTAACTAGCACCGACTACATAGACATTTTTAATAGATATTATTTAAACAAAGTTATGTTACTGAATATCAATGGGAATGTATTATATCTGTTATCTGCGTGTTCATCTCGCCTCTGTTATAAAGAACAAGACGTATGTGAAAATATTAAAAGTACTGAAGAATGTTTCAAAAGACGGAGTTTAGTCAAACATACTAAACTAGATGTAACGTGGTCAGCTTACGCTCCTTTTGTTGTGAATCAAACTGAAGGTATCCATATCGAAATAATTAACATAATTGCATCCAATCTGAATTTGGAAACAAACTATATTAAGACGCCTATGTTTATAAATCCATATCGAATTGAACCCAAATTCAAAGAAAATATGTACGATTTAAGTTCTTTGCCATATACCGAGCACACATTGCAATTCGATAAGACGGTTATTTTTACAGATGATAAGACAGCTTATATTATACCAAGAATACTTGTTAGCAAAGCGTGGCAAATATTCTTTATAGAGTTCAAAATCACCGTCTGGTGCCTGTTTGTTCTAGTGATTGTGTCATTATGTGTTGTACTTACGTTGTATATTGCATTGATACCCAACAGAGACAATGTCTCTATATTTAATATTATTTTTGGTATACTACTAGAAGGTTGTTCTCCATACAGTACAAATAAAATATCGCTAAAGTTATTAATAATTAATTTTACTCTTTTCAGTTTGTTGTTTACCACTGTATACAGAGGTAAAATGTTCGATATCATGAAAACTGAGCTATTATCCCAAATGGTAACTACAAAGGAGGATATTTTGAAATACGAACTGAAAATGGGTTTACCAGGTGATACGTTTCTGGATGTATATAAAATGTCCAACGATCCAGTGGATATTGAAATAATGAAGAATGGCCGGTATTTGAACTGTTTTAACTTTACGGCATGTTTGGATAGGGTGGCTTTTAACAGGGACATAATATCGCAACGTCTGGTCAAACCAGTTAAATCGTTAATTCCACAGTATTATCAGGACAATAGTGGAAAATCTCTCCTTTACATTATTCATAGACCTTACGGTACTCCTTACTATTTTGGCATGGTCTTTCGGAAAGGATATCCCTTATTCAAAGAGTTTAATAAAAAGATATTGATTTTAAAAGAAGCTGGAGTCGTCGAATATTTATACAAGAAGCACGAAGAACTTTACATTAAAGCTACCACTCTAGCTCAGTTAGAAGATGGTATAAAATATTCGGACTTGAACTTACAGACCTTACAATCTACTTTTGTGGTATATCTGATAGGGATGGGCTTTAGTTTACTTGTGTTTTTTATTGAAATTGCTTTTAAAGAGGTAACTATCACCGAGAAAAAATAATAATTACTAATTAAAGATGTAACAAAAATTATTTTACATTATTCTTACTCTTTTCTCATATACCATCAAATATTTTGCTTGTCTTTTGTGATAACTACCTTTTTTTCTGCTCTTTTAATATCTGCTCTATAATTTTCTTAATAAAACATTTGGAGTCTTTTGACTTAACTAGATAAATGTAAATGTTCTTTTATTATTTTCCAAGTGGAAGTCCGTTTTTTATTATTTTACTGCCGCTAATTAGATTATTGTATGTATATTCTGTATGTTGGAGAGTGTGTTGAGTTATTAAGCCTTATTACTAAGTAAAGTCGGCTTCATTATCTTTGTAGCTTATTATATATACGACTGCGTTACCTCAGGTGAGGACCGATCCTACAAACAAGATATTTTTTTAATCGAAGTTCTGATATCGACCGGATTGGAACTCATGAGCCCTTAGTATTACGCTAAATTAGTTAACTTTCTAACAACTGTGCCAAGAAGGCAGTAAAAATTTAGTTGGTTTTAGTTGAAACCGCTCTTTAAGTTTCTGAAGATATTTGCCTTCCTCCAATATTCGTTTTTCTTTCCTTAGATGGTAACTTTACAGAAGATGACATTGTGCATCTCTCATTACTTAATTATTATATTGTTAATATGTGATTTAATATTTGTCTGATTGGCGGGTTGGAGTTCTATATCTTGTGCTAATTGTATAATTGTGCTGGCCTCACTGATGTTGAACTTGGCATAAGTTTCGCAGCCAGGAGAACTTCTTTAGTCCAATGCTTCCCCTTCTTTCTATCTTTCCTTCCCAACTGTAGAAAACCATACAAGATATGTCCAAAATATCCTGCTTTCCTTTGCTTAATAGTTGTCAATAGGTCCTTATGCATATTTATTCTTTAATACGCTCGAACATTTCATACTCTCTGGATCCATGTAATTTTCAATAACCGCTACAACCACATCTCAAAAGAAACCAGACGTGACATGGTTCTTTCTTTTAACGTCAATCCTATGTACAAGAAAGTAGATAGTATAGCATTTTTCATATAAAAAAAGCTTACACGTCATTCAAGATTTACGTCGTCAGAACCCTACAGCATTGCCAAAACATCAGAATAGTGAGTAAGTGAGGAATTTTTCAAATGACAACTATTTGTCAAACTATTATATTAACAGTAAATACACTTCGTTTTAAGACTACTGCAACACATTAAAATATATAAGAAAACATTTTAATACAAAATTATATATTTTAAATTTTAAACTTACTTTTTTAGAGCTTTAGTAGTAAAAACGTCCCGCCATTATTTCTTGTTCAAAATAATCTATCTTATATGAAAGCTTATCAGCTTTCTACAGACTATTTATTTGTTTTGGCATATCACAATTACAATACACAACAATAATTAGTATTTAAAGCTATTAATCTAAATTTAAAATGTATTTATAAATACAATTTATTAATATATATTATATTGTGATGAAATTGTGTAAGAAATCAAGACATAAACAAAATTCCTACTCTAAAAAAGCGGCAACACTTTATACACGTTTGCCACATGCTCAACTGTCAATAAAATTTGAAGTATTTTCGTATCAGTTGCGTACACTTGTCTAATATACTTAATTAAAATTATTATTTTGTGGAATATTAGACTTAGAGTTATTTTATAAAATTTATATTATTAATAATAACAATTTTTTTTTGGTTATTTAATCAATATAATTCTAAAATTTCGAATATAATGTTTACATTTTTCTGATTATTACACCATGTTGACGCCTATGAAAGATCGAGCAGTTCCGTATGGGTTTCGTATTATTAGCTGTGTTAGGAAAATTTGAACTCTAAGGTTGATGTTCTGGAAATTTTAAATACAAGTAACGTCACTTTGTATAAATCGTGACGTGCAAGTGTTTTACTTTGAAAAATAGTATACATAGGATTTATGGCACGCTATCGAATAATTAGACTAAGGTCTCTATTGCAAAATAGTGCTTTCATTTTGAAGAACGTATTTCTAAATATTTTGGTTCTAATTTTGCGTTGATCATCAGGATCCCACTTATCGTTTAGTCAGCATATTTACCCTTTCTATGTCCTGATTTACTAGCCGTACTCTAATATTGTCTACATCACATTTGCAGATGACCATAAATCACAACTCTAAACTAAAATCTCAATTACTACTGTCTACCAACTGTTAACAACATATGTTTATATATTTTTTCTGATGTTCCGAACGTCTCTAGAAATGTCAGGAATCTTCGATGTCATCTTGAATGATCTAGAACTACTTCTTCTTTTTCTTTTTTTTTTTCGTCTAGGAACTTTTTTTATATGAAATTAATATCACGGAACTGTCGTAACAATATTATAAATTTTCCTTCTACTTGGTAAATATTAAATAAACATCCTGCTTCCTGCAGGAGATTCAATGTTTGCTTATTTATATTCATATGCATGATATTATAAAGGTTTGGTCACTTAAAAGATTTAATATACATGCATATAAATGAAAAAGTATTAAATATCGTGCACAAATCACGTGTGCTAATATTTACCACATGGAAGGGAAGATTAGAATATTTTAAGTCGTGTAATGATAGGAGAGAGATATATGTGCTCTACTTCAGCTGATCAGGCAGGTTAGAATAGAAGGAAAGATATCAAGAAGAAAGGAAACATGGTTAAGACACTTAAATGGTTTTTCCGATTAACTTAATTTACCTAGAACTACAGTGTGTAATATATTACCAATTATGGGAAAACAGGAAGTATCTTGGATAAAAAAGATAAAAGCTCGTATCGTACAAAACTAGTTTCTGGTGAGAATAAAAGAATATTAGTAAAAGTTGATAAAAAAGGTCGAAAAAATACTGTAAAACAAGTGGTACCGAATCATCAAACTAGATAAAATTTGTCAAAGAAATGCTGTCGCAAGGGAATACATACATCTGGATTAAAGTTTTATACGGTTGAATTACAGCTAACAATTTAAAAGTTTACTCATAAAAGGGTAAAAAAAATATATTCTCTTATCTTCTTCTTCTTTAAGTTCCGTCTCCCAATCGAAGGTTGGATATCATCATCACTATCTTTACTTTATCTACTGCTGCTCTCATCATCATCATCATCCAGCCTCTATTTATGACGTCCACTGCTCGACATAGGCCTCCCTTAAACTCCTCCATTCCTCACGATTTTGTGCTCTTTGTTGCCAATTTTTAGTGATACGCCTGATGTCGTCGGCCCAACGTGTGGGTGGTCTTCCTCTACTGCGTTTGTCTGTTCTTGGCCTCCAATTTGTAATTTTGCTTGTCCATCGTGAATCGTGCATTCTCGCTACATGGCCTGCCCAGTTCCATTTTAGTTCCGCTATGCGTTCCACAACATCAGTAATACTCGTCCTTCTTCGCAGATCTTCGTTTCTTATTCGGTCCCTCAACGTCACTCCCAGCATAGACCGTTCCATTCGTCTCTGTGCCACTTTCAGTTTCGAAGCCGTGGTCTTGGTTAAAGTCATAGTTTCCGCCCCATAGGTCATGACCGGTAATACGCATTGGTCAAACACTTTTCTTTTGAGGCTGATTGGTATGTTGGCCCTAAGTGTGTCTCGCAGTTTTCCAAAGGCTGCCCATGTTAAAGTAATTCGTCTTTGGATCTCACATGTTTGGTTATCCCTGCTGATTCTTATTTCATGACCCAAATACGTATATTTCTCCACCAGTTCTACCACTTTGTCTTGAATAGTCAAATGGTTATTGGGGACCAAATTTGTCATAAACTTAGTTTTGGTCAAGTTCATTCTCAGGCCCACCTTCGAACATGCAAAATCCAATTCGTTTAACATATCTGTAGCTTCTCCTAAATTATCTGTGATAAGGACAATGTCATCTGCGAAACGGAGATGGTTAAGCTTTTCGCCGTCTATCGTTACTCCTCTGTGGTCCCAATTGATCATCTTAAAGGCATATTCTAATGCCGTTATGAATAATTTCGGCGACAATGTATCTCCTTGCCTTATTCCACGATTTATTTTTATTGGTCGGGTTTTATTGTCTATTTTAACAGTCATAGTGGCATTTTTGTAAATATTATAAATAAGCTCACTATACCTATGGTCAATCCTGCTGTCATTCATTGCTTCTATAAGGCTGTCTAATTCGATCGTGTCGAACGCTTTATGAAAATCTATGAAAGTGAGAACAAGAGGTTTGTTATATTCTATAGATTTTTCAACGAGTGTCTTTACTGTGTGGAGGTGATCATTGGTACCATAATTTGAGCGGAATCCTGCCTGCTCTCTCGGTTGGTAGAAATCTAATTTTTTCTCCAATCTTGATGTCACTACCCTAGTGAAGAGCTTGTATATGCGGTTCAACAGGCTAATAGGTCTATAATTTTCTAGGTCCGTTCTATCTCCTTTTTTATGCAAAAGGATGATTGTAGCATTGTTCTACTCTTTGGACACCTCTCTTTGCTGCAAACATAGATTGAATAGTTTTCTTAATGTATTTAATAGCATATTTCCTCCATTTACGATAGCTTCTATTACGATGCCATCCTCTCCTGGGGCTTTGTTATTTTTCATTTTTCTTAATGCTTGTCGAATCTCATCTAGCTTTATCTCTGGCGTTAGTTCGGAACCTTGATTCTTGATCTTCTTTGAAATGGCTGTTTGTATTCCTGTTTTATCTTCTCGTCTACTTCTATATAAGTCCTCGTAAAACTCTTCGACGACCTGTATTAACTCGTCTCTACGTGATATTATTTCATTTTGCTTGTTTCTTAATTTATGAATTTCGCATTTCCCATTCGTTAGCTTTCTACGTAGAACTTTTAGGCTGTTATTTTCCTCTATGGTGCGTTTAATATAATCGGTATTAAATTTCCTTAAATCTCTCCTAATTTCTTTCGAAACAGTTTTGTTCATTTTTCTTAAGTGTTGCTATCTACATTCTTATCGCTTCTCATTTGTCTTCTTTGATCCAAGAGCGTTTCAGTA